AGGGGCTCAGGGGCTGTGAGGGGCGTGGGAGCTGTGGGGGGCGGGGCGGGCCCGGGCCTGGGGGAGAGCCGCACCTGTAGTCCTTGAAGTGGGAGAAGTTGTAGAGGATGTCGGCGTCCGCCTCGCTCTGCGTGAAGGTGAAGCGGGGGTGCGTGAGGTGGCTGAGCACCTGGTGCACGTCCGTGTGGACCCTGCGGGGAGGGGGCTGGTCAGGCGGGGGGACACTTACAGTCCGCTCCCCCACCTGGAGGGGCCGCCTGGTTAGGGTGAACAGGGGAAGCCGAGTGGTGCACCAAGGCGGCTTCCCTCCGTGGACACACAGGGACCGGTCGACACGCCACTGCCCACAGACACCAGGAGCCTGACCCTTAGAGGAGCCGCTGCCCCGGGTGCCCCAGGGGAGGGTGCTGCTCAGGCATGTGCCCCACAAGGCCTCCTTCCACACTGGTGCTCGCTGTGCCCGCCTTGCCCGGCCTGCGCGGGCCCTGGGCAGAGGTGTGGTCAGGGCCTGGGAGCCTGTCTGCTGGGGTGGAGGTGGAGGCAGGAGGGCCAGCCTGGGAGGGGCTCCGGGAGGAGCAGAGGAGCGGGGCTGGGCTGCTGGCAGGACTGGGGCAGGGAGCAGCTCAGGGAGGTGGAGGGGTGCTGGGCAATGGGCCTCGGGAGAGGGGACGAGGGCCGGGCAGCGGGAGGAACCCCCAGGACTGGCGGGTGGGGTGAGAAGAGGTGCTGCTCTTTCTGGCCAGACCCGGTCTGGGCAGCTGGAGGGGCTCCTACTGGAGGGAGAGGCCAGTCATCGCCGAGCGGGACCCACCTTGAGCCTGTCCACCAGGTGGACGGGGCTCTGCACCCCCACTTGCCCACTCACAGCCGAGTTCTGTCCTTCAAGGTGAGTTTTAAACTCTTCCTCCAGGCCCGCTCACCCCTCACTGCCTGTAGCATTCTCTGTGACCCTAAGAACCCCACTTTCGGCATCTCAGTCACTGCAGTGCCCCCAAGACAGAGCGGGCCTAGGAGCACCACGCTGAGCGGGTGCTGTTGTGGGAGCCGTGGAACCAGAGGGGGAGGGGGGCCCAGGAAGTCTGGCTGGAAGCTGCGGGTACGCACTTGAAGATGTGGTCGCTGGGACGCACCACTGGGTCGATGGCCAGTGGCAGCTTCTCCTTGTTTTCCTCCAAAATGGCCTGGAAGGAAAGACATGGGAGGTGGAGCCGGGCCCTCGAGAAAGGAAGCCGTGAGCACCGCCTCCCGATCCCAGCACAGTAGGGCTTGGGATCTGGGGGCACACCCAGCCCTCACGTGGAGCTTCCGACCACCCCCCGGGGGTCGGGGCTTGAGGCCCCGCAGGTGCTGGATGGCCCGTTCCTCAATCCACCGTCAAACCACAGCCTGCCCGGGAGGGGCTGCTCCCAGCTTGGGCAGCTGGTGGCTGACCTCCCTTTGAAGGGCTTCATTCACCTCCCCTGTGTGTGGGCTGAACGAGTTGCTTCTAACCAACAGGAAGTGGAAGAACATTGTGCAAGTTCCTCCAAGGCCTGGGGCTTCCTCCCCCTTCTCCCGGGTCACCTGCTCTGCGAGCAGTGAGCCGCCACCCCGGGAGGACACGCCAGCAGCCCTGGAGGCCCCGAGGCCTCTGCCAGCAGCCACACCTTGCCGTGTGGAGGCAGGTCCCAGCCCCCAGGCCTCCGGGAGAAGGGGCTGATACACGTCTGCTCCCGGGCGATAACTAGCTAAGCAGGCGACCAGGCCCAGAGCACAGGCCTCAGCCAGGGGGGCCGATGTGGTCGAACCACCAGGGCGGTTCAGGGTTGGGCTCTTAGCCCTCGTCCTGGCCAGTAGAGGGCGACCCAAGGAAGAAAGACATTTTAATTCATGTCCCTCTAACAAACGTTAACATCAGGAAGTCTCGCCCGGCCGGCGTGGCTCAGAGGTTGAACGTGGACCTGTGACCCAGGAGGTCACAGTTCGATTCCCGGTCAGGGCACATGCCCGGGTTGTGGGCTTGATCCCCAGTGGGGGACGTGCAGGAGGCAGCTGACCAATGATTCTCTCTCATCATTGATGTTTCTATCTCTCTCTCCCTCTCCTTTCCTCTCTGAAATCAATAAAAAATAAAAAATAAAAAAAAAAGGTCAGGAAGCCTCTGTCCCTCAGCCATCCTTAAGCCTCACTCCTTTGCCTTCACTCACTTTTCAAACGTTTACTAAGCACCTACTAGGCGCATGCACTCTACGAGCCTCCGGAACATCTCTGAACAAGAAGGGTGGCCACGGAGTGTTCGGCATGGCTAGTTCCGTCACCACTGTGATGACCCAGAATTCGCGGGAAAGTGCCGGCAGGACCCCCGTGGAACCCGCCTCCCAGTCAGCAGCACTCGGAACCGCTAGCATTACACGGCACCTCCCACAGTAACTCCGGGTGACTGGTTCACTCCCTCCCACAGCCCCGAGGCATTCCGTGAGCGGCTGCCGTGCTGGGGGATAAGGCGGCTTCGAGATGGGTGGGAAGTGAGGCAGAGGTGTGTGGCCTCTGCTCGCAAGCTATCAGGTCCCCTTGGTTTTGGACTCCGGTTCTCCCACCAGCTGTGACCTTTGGCAAGTTACTTAACCTCTCTGTGCCTCAGTTTCCTCATCCTCAGTACAACAAAGGCAAAAACAGGCCTGCTGGTCCTATTGTTGTAAGGACTAAGCACAGGCGCCCTCGCTGCCCGGTTTCCACCGGGGACCAGCCAACAGCAGGCAGTGGCAGGAGACCAGAGGGCAGGGGAGGGAAAGGGGCCGGGCGCTAACCCCTGCCCAGCCCTGCCCGGCCCTGGCAGTGGCTGTGTTCCTATAGGCCCCACTCCCCCACGCCCCCCAGGCCTCACTAACCCCGGCTCCCTGAGCTGCCCCACCACGTACTGGGCTCAGCACTTGGGCGGGGCCGGTGTGTCCTGGGGGGCGCTGACCGAGAGGCTGTCCACAGACTAAAAGCACCTTTCTGCCCTCACGGTGCAGCTACTTATCGGGGCTCCTGCACCTGGGAGCTGTGCCGCACGGGTTGGAATACAGTGTCCCTGTCCCCGGGGAGGGCGGTGTCAGGAGATGTGGGAATGAAGACAGGGAAGAGCAGCCGTGACCACCAGCACCCAGCTCCGTGGAGAGGGCGGCTCTGGTCTCTATGGCTCCCCCCATCCCCCGCCCCCAGGAACTGGTGTCATTCAGCAACACCTGGCGATGAGTGGAGGATGCTCATGAGTGGAGGGAGGCCGGGGAGGCCCACCTGGTAGTGCTCGGCGGGCGGCTCGGGCGTGTGGGAGCTGACGTCCAGCAGGTCGGTGGGCGCCCAGGGCAGCAGCATGCACCTCCGGACCAGGGGGTCCGTCTCTCCGTAGGCAAAGTCCCGGGTCACCTCCTCTGCACCGAGACACGCAGGCCCATCAGGGGTGGCAGGAGACGGCCTGGCCACCTCCGAGGGGGCGGGCGTCTGACTCACCGCCCGTGTCCAGGTCCCTCAGGGGCCACAGCAGCGTGTAGGCCACCTGCTGGGGCATGTAGAAGAAGGGCGCCGCGGCGAAGCTGGGCACGTCCGCGTGCTGGATGCGCGAGCCGAACTCGTCCATGATGTACCACACCGGCACCTTCTCCTCAGCCGTCTGTGGGCAGAGACACCGCCCTCGTCCACGGCCCAGCCACCGTCCCTGCCGCCCATCCCCGCACCCGGCACCAGCCACCCAGCGCTCTGAGCGCGGAGCGGCTGTCACGCAGACCCCAGCCCTCGGACCGGGGCCTCTGGGACGTGGCCCCGCCCGGCAGACCAGGACCCAGGCCGCAGACGGGTGATCGCCGTGGGCTGAAGGCGCGTGGAGACGAGGCATGCGGCCTGGCAGCCGCCGGGATGTGAGGCCTTGTGTGTGTGACCAGGGCTGGGGGAGGGGCAGACGGGAGACTTGTCGTTCAGGGGAGGTGACATCGAAGCTGAGATCCTGAGAACAACTCGTTTTTCCCTAAAAGTGGTGAGGGGCTGGAGCCGAGGGTGAGCGGGGGGCCGGGGGCGGGTGACCAAAGCCCCAGGACACGTGCCGACAGGACTCGACTCTTCTCCGAAGGCGCCAGGAAAGAGGCAGCCCAGGTGCAGGGGTCTGAGAGGGGGCGTGTCCTGTGAGCTTAAATCCACAGACACCCGGGTCCTGGTACTGGCTGGTCCAGGGCAGGTAACGGGCCCACGATGGAGCCAGGGGAGAAGGGGAGCTTGTTCACTGTGAGGTGGAGGCCAGCTGGGTCCGGGCTCCTGGCCGCCCACCAGCCCTGATCACATGGGCAGCGAAGGCCCATGTCCGCGTCCGCCCTCTGCCCTGCCCTCCCCCGCCCCCCGGCTGCGCACTCACCCCGTGGGACAGCTGGTAGGTCTGGTTGAACTTCCACATCTCCTCCAGCACCTGGTCCACGGCCTCGGCGCTGGGCAGCTCCCCGTGGAACTCGACGCCCATCAGGTTGGCCATGCGGTGCAGCAGCCCCGGGATCTGCTGCAGCTGCTGGCGGGCGTGCTCCACGCGGCATGTCCAGGCGTGGTCGATGAGGAAGATGCTGCAGGCACAGGCCACGCGGTGAGGCTGCCACGCGGGCACAGAGAAGGGCAGCAGCAGGGACGAGAGGAGGGAGGGGCTGGGCTGTGGCCTGGGCCCGCCTCCACCGACCACTCACTGTGTGGCCGTGGGCGCATGCCTCTACCCGTTTCTAAAACAGGACGACAGGGGCCTGCGTCCGACCACCGGCCGATGGAGCACCAGGAGACGGGACACACAACGTGCCGACTGTGCGCTGTGATTGTTACAGCGACCACCGTAACGGGGAGGGACCGCCCCACGCCGCGCACCTGCACCTGCACCTGCAGCCCGGCCACGGCAGGAGCTCAAAGGAGCCGCCACGCGGAGCTCATCACGCTCGCCGGGCCCTCAGGGCAACTGGGAAGCACCACGGCCTTTTTCCGGGAGAGGCCTCGGGTCCCCACACATATGGACACCGGCAGCCCGCACCCCGGTTTCCTGGGAGGAGCCTGGGGGAGGAGCTGCAGAGGGTCCATGCAACACGCAGGGGCTGAGAGGGAGGACCAGGCCATGCCCGCCCTCCTGCCCCCAGGACGGCGCTGCCAGACACCGACCCCACACAAACAGGTGAACGGGCCTGGCCTGTTCCCTGGCTAAGATGCCCGGGACGGCTGGTGTGCCAGGTCTCAGCTGCCGGCAGGCTCGGCAGGCTCTACTCTATGCGCTCACACAGCCGGCCCTCCGCGGCCTCGGCTTCAGCAACCTCAGGCTGAAACATCTGCCGCCCGTGAGGTCCGGCGTGCGGTGTGGTCAGGCCCACGAGGGTGGCATCTGTACGGACCATGTGCAGACGCTTTCTGGCCCCTGTTCCCTAAACAACAGCTCACACACGTTCACGTTGCATTAGGTATTATAAGTAACCCAGAGGTGATTAAACACACGCAGGGTGGGGTAGGTTACAGGCAAATGCAGGTGGGACAAAAGTACGGTTACAGCTGCTCGCAGGGAAAGTAATACAATAACTAGTCAATAACACAAGAATAAGCCCTAACCGGTTTGGCTCAGTGGATAGAGCACCGGCCTGCGGACTGAAGGGTCCCGGGTTCGATTCCGGTCAAGGGCATGTGCCTTGGTTGCGGGCACATCCCCAGTGGGGGGTGTGCAGGAGGCAGCTGATCAATGATTCTCTCTCATCGATGTTTCTAACTCTCTATCTCTCTCCCTTCTCTGTAAAAAATCAATAAAATATATTTAAAAAAAAAAAAGAATAAAGTGCTTCACGTACTCACAAGTGCAGACCTCCTCCTGCCCACCCTGTGCTACGCCGTTTATCCCGGGGAGGTGAGCACCTGCGGGTTTGGCATCCGAGGGGGTCCTGGGACCTTCCGCACGGGCATGAAGACGCGGTTACTCTGTATCCCCTAAAGCAAGTGAAGGTGCCCTGCCCTCCTGCTTGGAGTTCATGCCACGTGGCGCAGTGCAGAGCTCCCGGGCGCCCACAGGTGGGAACAGAGCAGGCCCAGGTGGAGGCTGGTGGTGCTGAGCTCCGTGGGAAAGAAGGGCCTGGGAGTGTCTGCATCAGAGAGCTGGTGGCGGAGGTGCTGGGGCTGCCGTGACCTGGGGGGCCACTCCCACCACCTCGGGCTGGCGAACGCGGCCCGCCCCTTCCCTGAAGAGCCACGGACACGGGGCCTGACGACTCCCAGAGGCCAACAGGGTCCTCTCTCCAGGTGCCAGCAGAGTCTGGCAGAGGGACCTGCAGGCCTGTCCTGGCCGGCAGCCCCGGGAAGCAGGGAGCTGGGGTCCAGTCTTAGCTCTGCCCTGTCCACCCTGTGGCCCCGGACAAGGCCCAGCCCTGCTCTGCTCTGGGTTCGGTGTCCTCACCTGGGACTCAACCAGACCACACTCCTCAGTCCTGGGAACAAAGCCCCAGAGAACATGTTGGGTCCCAGGCGCCACCCGGAGATGCAGATTCCGGAGATGGGGAGAGGCCAGGCGTCCTCGCAAAAGCGGGGTTCCCCAGTAAGACTGCGATGGGTTGACACCCACACTCAACTGCTAGGGGTGCTGGCGAAGTCCTTCCCGCCTCCTCATCAGCAAAACCAGAACAATCACCTGCTGCACGACCACTGTGGCGGGTGGGCACGGGAGGCCGCTGTCAGGACAGACCCACAGGCGGCGCCACCAGTACCAGGACCGCCGCAGCCCTGAGCCCCAGGGAAGCCTGGGGCCACAGCTCCTGCAATGGCTGCTGCTCCCCAAAGCCCACGGTCTCGGGGGGGGGCCTCTGAAAGGAAGCCTGGCCTTGACAGCCACACGCAGATGACGACGGCCCACCCAGGCCCTACCTGTTGGGGTCGGCCGCCTGGAGCCCGTTCTCGTTGGTCACGATGACCTTGTAGCAGAGCTCGCTGCCCGGGTTGGGCTTCTTCTTGTGCGCTTCCCGTGCGGCCTCGTCCTCACTCTCCTCCTCCACTTCCTCCACTTGCATGATCCCAAACATCTCCCCCGCGTCGAACACCTGGGGACCACAGCGTGGGTGTCGGAGGGAGGCCCAGCCCCGAACCCTCACCACAGCCGGACTTCCGCTCCCGGCCTCCAGGTCAAACTACACCCCTCAGGAGAAGCTGGGCCTGTCGATCGCCATCTACCCATTTCACAGGTGGGGAAACTGAGGCTCCTAAAGAGAGCGGGGTCAGAACGGGGACCCAGCCTACCCGCAGGACCACGCTTAGAAGCGGGCCTGCATGCATGTGTCCGAATCATGTCTCCTCTGGCCCCTGCTGCACAGGGAAAGCGAATTCCGAGGCAGAGTGTGTGTGTGTGTGTGTGTGTGGCTCTGGTCACACTGGAAGCAAATGAAGGTCAAGATCTCGGTGGCCAGGGATCTCACCCCAATGTTGCTCTCACCAGGGGAACCCATCGAACACCAGGGCAGCTGGGAAAACCCAGAGGGGAACAGGTGTCCGGGCCTCCTGTGGCCACTGCGCCCCCGGCCGAGCAGCAGCCAGGCCCGCGGGAAGCGTGACCTGAGGTCCGGGCCAGGAAGATAAAGGCCCTGGTCCCTGCGTTTCCCTGGCAAAGGACAACTGTCAGCCACGTGCTGCGGGTGAAGAGTCAGCCTCCTGTGTGCTCTGGAGCCGGGCCATGTGACCTCGAACGAGACAATGAGCCACGCCGTGCCTCAGTTTCCCCATCCGTACAGTTGGCATAGTAGGACCTACCTCAGAGGGTTGTTGGGAGGATTCACGATGAACACACATAAAGAGCTAGAACCTGAGCCCAGCAAATGCTCCAAAAGCACCTGCTCCCAGCATCCCACCATTCTGAGGCCTGGCACGGGGAGGGGGGCAGGGGAGGGGGGTACCATCGCCTTCCAGGATAGCTTTGCCGGCTAGGCCAACGCAACGGTGCACAGGAGTCCCTGGCACACAGCAGGGACTGAACAAAGGCCAGCTCTCCCAAAAACCTATTTCTCATAATTATTAAAAAAAGATGCAAAATTCACCCCAGCAGTTGGAAACCTGCTAGCTACCTGGGCACAGGCAGCTTCGTGCGCTGGGCAGCACAGGCCCCTCGGGGTGTGAGGATGAAGCACTCAGGATCTTGCCCAGGGAGCTACGGCCGAGTGGCAGAGCGCAGTCGGGCTGGGCCGTCTGGGAGGACCGGGTGAGTGGTGCTGGGCCTGGAGGGCCCCCGGAAGATTTTACGGAGGAGACAGTCAGAGGGGGGCAACCTAAGGCCTGGGGGTGGAGGGCGTCCTCAGGACTGGCTTCTGCCAGGCTGTAGGTGGGCGTGACCACAATCCCTCCACGGTGGAAGCACTGAAACTTACACTTCCCCAGCCTTTCCAAGGGACCTTTCTTTTGAGGCAAGGCGCCAGGATCATCGCCTTGCGGATGGAACTGGGGGACCCCATCCCTGCGGGCAGGTGCCTGTGCCCTCCCCACATGTGGGTTCACAGCAGCAGCAGGTCCCCTGCAACAATGACTGCAGGGTGGGTCAGGCAAAGCCGTGACTCACCGCTCTGCCCATAACTCGGAGCGGCAGCGAGGCCATGGAAAAACACTGGGGCAGAGCAGGCGCGGGCAGGGCAGAGGGGGCGCTGGTCCGGTGACCGCCCGCTGTGTGCTGGGCACGGGTGGCACCTTCTCTCATGCCTTCCCAGCCCTCCCTGCCACGACTCCCGATTTCTAAGGTGTGTGTGTTTTTTTTTAAAGGATGTTTTATTGATTTGAGAGAGGAAGGGGGAGAGAGACAGACAGACATCGATGTGAGAAACATTGACTGGTTGCCTCCCATACTCGCCCAGACTGGGGATCAGATCCATAACCTAGGCATGTGCCCTGACTGGGAATGGAACCCACCCCTTTTGTGGTGCACGGGATGACGCTCCCACCAACAGAGCCTCCGGGCCAGGGCAAGACCCCGGTTTCTAGATGGAGGCTCCATGGGGCGAGTGACCTGCCCACGTCAGAGCTCACTGCCCATGGAGGCTGGCGGGGCTGCAGCGAGTGAGGCCCTTTTATACCTAACAAACTGCTGGGGTCCCCTCCCACCCCAGGGCAAGTGCTCAGGAAATGCAGGCGGAATTGAGGGCAAGTCACTGGGGAGGGGAAGGGGGGAAGGGGGAAGGGCATTCACTGTTACAACAGATAGGTATGGACTATCTGCGGTGGACACTGTATCTTTTTTACAGCAACTGCCTGTGTTTTGAGCAGGAAGGTACTTGGTCCAACCCCAACTTTGCAGATACAGAAACTGGCTGAGAGAGGGGGCTGTCCAGGCCCGGGGACACCCTGTCTGGCTCTGGAGTTCCCCTCAGGAGGGGGAAGGGCATTCACTGTTACAACAGATAGGTATGGACTATCTGCAGTCGACACTATATCTTTTTTACAGCAACTGCCTGTGTTTTGAGCAGGAAGGTACTTGGTCCAACCCCAACTTTGCAGATACAGAAACTGGCTGAGAGAGGGGGCTGTCCAGGCCCGGGGACACCCTGTCTGGCTCTGGAGTTCCCCTCATCACTGACACCACTTGGTCTGCCTCGGCCCCAGGAGGCAGCCCCCTGAAAAGGGGCCTGATTCCAGCTAAGAAGGACCCACTAGCTGGCCCGTGAAAGTGCTCTCTCTGTCTTCAGCATTGGGCCAACTACACCAAACCAGGGGCCACCCCGTAGCCAAGACCCCGCCCCCCCACCCCCCTGGAGGCCCAGGCCAGAGCAGCTGGTGAGCAGAATGGAGCTGTCCTCACGAAAAGGGAGAACCTACACATATCTAGGACTTTTTCATTTTTCTTTAGATGTGTTCTCCATCTCCCACACTGTTTTCTTTAATCTGCAAAATGTGGGTGAGTCCGGCTCAAGTCCAATGAGGAACATGAAAAACTTTTATGACCGAGAATTAAAGCCACACAAATTCATGGGGCTCCTGTTCTCCCAGGGGGAGGCGGTGGCTGAAAGCTTCCAGTTCTGACAAACTTCCCGAGCCTCAGTTTTCTCAACTGTGTAATGGGGGTGATGACCCTCACTCCTCCCAGGACAGCTCTGGGCGTGGAGGTGGAGCAGCAGCTCAGGGCCTGGCGCACAGCAGGAGCCAGGCTTCGTTTTAGTTCCCGGTTCCGCGCGGCCCTGGCCAGGCCCAGGTGCAGGCAGGACCGGGCCACCGGTATGGGCCCGGCAGCCACTCTCAGGCCCCCCACTTTCGGCGGCTCCTAAACTGCCGGGGACGCAAAGTCTAAGTCGGTCATCACGGCATTCGTGGCTCTTCTCTGCCATCCACACCGCCCCCAACTCCAAGACCTGCCCAGCGGGGCACACCACGAGCCCCCGCCTCCCCCACCCTCCGTCCCACACACACCTTCTCCGCACGTGTCCAGCCTTTCCC